GTTATACATTTATGTATAGGAGAGTAGCACGGCCCATTCTGATGATTGATCACACAGTATGTCTGTGATCAATAATCGTATTAGTGTGATTTAAATTCACCATAAAAACAGAAATTAACCCTATTTACTGTCTAATAGACGATCTTGGTTCTATTATGTGCAGGTTATCAGAAATAATGATATGCCACCAACAAGTTTGGGGTTGGTAAGGTTTTTTAATGTCTTTGAAAGATGTCTTTTGCTCTCCAAGACTGCATTTATTTGGTCAAAAACAGTAAACACAGTAAGATTGTGAAATGCTTTAACAATTTAGAATAGCTGTTTTCTGTTTTAATACATTTTAAAATGTAATTTATTTCCATGATGGCAAATCATTTCAATAAGCTGATTATTTTATGTATAACATAATAAGGTTAGTTGGTGAATAGAAAGTTTCAGAAACACCATTTAGTTGATTGATTGATTGATTGATTGATTGATTGATTGGTTGATTGATTATTAGTATTAGTATTACTCTCTCTCTCTGTGTGTGTGTGTGTTTATTTGTTTATTTGTTGTTTATGCCATTTCTAAAATAGCTCATTTGCTCAAGAACTCTAAAACCACATAAATACAAATAAAAAAGGGTTGTGCTTTTGTAATAATAATTTTTCAATGTATACTTATATCTACTGATGTGCCTATGTGTTACTGAAACTGCAGGTCTGTGCATTTATTTATTTATTTGCTTACTTACAATTGTAACAATATATATAATAATCTAAACATATATAATTGTTTTAAATATATAATAATTGTTCTTCTATTGCATTGCTATGAATCCACCCTTTTGGAACTTTTCATTTTTGTTGATTTATTTTATTGCACCCATCAGCTTGTTTTTGCAAGACCAAGTCTAAGCATAAACATCAATACAATAATATATGTAATAAAAATAATAATATTAATAATATTAAAAAAATATTTACATCTATCTATAATGGTCAAATGCATAAATATAAATGCTATAAAATGCTATAAGGTTAAAATGCTCAAATTTCCTCAACATGGCAATGAAAAACAAGGAAGATGTTTTGACTGAAAGGGAATACGTTAAATAGTATTTTAGTATTGAGACCGACCAGAATATATAGACATGATGCTGCTTTAAAACCTCAACCCACCATGCACAGACACAAACTGGAAATAAAATGTAAACCTATTTACCTATGAATTTATTTTACAGTAAAGAGTCACTGTGTAGAGAGGACACAGAGGGTAAGAGACAGAGAGTGTGTTATATTCACACACACACTTGTGTCTGATACATACTGACAGGGTCACTCAAGGTCATCAATCACCCTAAAACACATACATCAGCAACTGAGTGGTGTGGTCATCAAACAAACAAATACACAAAACACTGAGACACACTGAGTACAGTAAACAAGGTCATTCTGTCAGTGCAGGTTAAGTGTGAGCAGAGAGGGCTGTTTAGAGCTGATCTGAGGTCAGGGACGGCACTGCGCTTCTGTTTAAAGCTTTGCATCTAAACAGATGGCCTTATCACCAACCAGTTTACCCACTGACAGGAACACACACTCACAGAGAGCAGGACAAATGACAGTTTGTCATTCTTAATGGAAGGGCAAATACACTTACTCCAGCTTTTAATACACAACCATGTCATGTGAACACACACGTTTAATTGACTTTCTGTAATTACCATAGACCATAGACTTCTATTGCGTGTATATAAACAGTCTAGTTGTTTGTATGTCTAATTGTAAGTAGTACTGACTGACCATATAGCCATAACTTTCCCACCGCCCACTTTCTCAACTCAACTCAAATTTAATTTGTAGATCACTTTCAAAAATCCCAGTGGGTACCCAATTAGAGTACCAAAAGTAAGCAAATACATACAGCCAAAAATACAACAAAAATCGATACAATTTACAACACAAAAGCTAAAGAAAACCAAATAGAGGAGTAATATGTGACCCTGGAGCACAAAACCAGTCATAAGGGTCAATTATTTGAAAATGAGATTTATACATCATAATAAGCTGAATAAATAGCTTTCCATTGATGTATGGTTTGTTTGGATAGGACAATATTTGATTGTTTTGGACAAATATATTGGACAATATTTTGGACAAAGTTGTCCAAATGAAGTTCTTAGCAATGCATATTACCGTATTTCATTTATGGTAGGAAATTTACAAAATATCTTCATGGAACATGATCTTTACTTAATATCCTAATGTTTTTTGGCATAAAAGAAAAATGGATAATTTTGACTCATACAATGTATTGTTGGTATTGTTGGCTATTGCTATTTATGGCTATGGCTATTTATTCATTGATGGTTGCGGTTAATGGCGTCACTTCCTGTTTGTTGCTGCCGTGTGTTTTGAGTTTGAGCTCCGTAAAGTTAATTCTTTGTCGTCTAATTTTTTATCTTAAAATCATATTATAATCAATTTTATACACCATCCTTTTCAGTTCTATAACGTGTGAATATATCCCCTATCGTATTCTACGACAAAAACAATCAGAGCGCCTTGTTAGCACTAGTTCTATTTTGACTTTCCGAGTCCGCTATTAGCATATAGCCCGCTAGCATCGCCAGCATGGTTGCCGCTAATCTCGCTTACACTAATACTCTATTCACACACATTTCCATTGTTTTACTCACTGTTACTTGCTTTAATGGCGGATGTGTGTCTACCTTTGAGTGCAGGTGAGGACACGTTCGAGCTGCATTCGGTGCAGGTCGAGCTGGAGGCCGTGGAGAAGCAGATCCGGGACCTGGTGGCAAAGCAGACCCAGCTGAGAGAGAGGAGAGCCACGCTGGAAACATCCCAGGCTGACGCTCACAAGTCCGAGGTAAGTATACAGCGCGCTGCTAACTCTCCCACCACCTCTACTCCGTGTGTTTCTCTGCACAGGCCCGGTGCACCCAGGACGCGATCTTCCCAGATGTCCTTCACTCCAGCGCTGGGACACCACGGACCCTGGATGCAGCCGCAGCGGAAGACGCAAGCCAGGCCCCGGGCGACGACCTCTCCCCCTCCACCGCCTCCGGTCTTCAAGACCTCCACCCAGAACCGCTTCGCTCCCCTCCGCGAGACGGAACGCGA